CCATTTCCATATTCGCCACAACCGTGAATTCATTTGTGCTTAACTCCGATCAAAGTGCTAACTCACCAGATGCTGGTGTTTAATTAGCATTTCATGTGGAAGATTCATCAACAAACCAATCAATCCAGATAATATTCATTCATCAGATGGTTGATCCATTTAGACTCCATCATGGTAAGTATAATCCAATTTCATATGCAGGTAAATAAAGAACACTCGCCATAGCATAATATCGTTTGACTATCACGCTGTGATCAAGCAGTGACGTCATCATGTACGCCGTTACCACGTGGCTGGACCATGTGACCGCAACTACGTCATCTGTTGCTGAGAACGGCTGGTGAGATGCCACTGTGAGAGCTGGAGATTGTGCAGCTACAGTATATATTATTGAATGCTGGTTTTTACCTTACACATTGTAAGTTTGTTTTTAAGGGGGGTATTTTGATACAATAAATAGTCAAACGATATTATGCTATGGCGAGTGTTCTTTATTTACCTACATATGGAATTGATTATACTTACTTTGATGGAGTCTAAATGGATCAACCATCCGATGAATGATTATCTGGATTGATCGGCTTGTTGATGGATCTTCCACATCTACTGGTATTTGATTGAAATGCTGATTAAACACCAGCATCTGGTGAGTTAGCACTTTGATGGGGTGTTGAGCACAAAGGAATTCACAGTTGTGGTGAATATATTTTTTGAAGAAAATTATATATGGACTATACTTTATTATGGACTTATTATTTTTTGATGTCTCACAATTTTTGCACATATTAATTTGTTTTGGTGGCAGTTTTTTTTATTTATTTATATATCAATTTATTTATTTATTTTCTTTATATTTATATATATTATTTAAGGGCATATATAGTTTTAAGAGCGCTGTTTATGGTATTTCCATTTATTTATATATATTTATGAATATAGATTTCTTATAGCAGGTTTTTTGTTTTTATTTTAGTTACCATGGTTTTTAATGCTGTGTATGTGCAAAAAACCTGAAAAACTGTATATTTTCTTGATAAAGCAGCTTCACTTCTAATATTTATTATTGGTTTGATATGAGAAGTGATCTGAAGAGACCATAATCAGGTATTAGGTGTGGGGTACTGGGGACTTTGCTTCACTTTAATGTCTAATATTTTTACCAACTATATTTTGAGTGGTGCTCAATAAGATCTCAAGACATTTTAGGGAGAGTTCTATTGATGATTAAACAATTGTGGTAGCACAATTAAGCTACTGAAATATGTGTAGCAAGAAGGTGAGTTTCAGCAAGTAGTTAGGTTTCTCACTAGCAAGAGACTAAAATCATTCATGTAACATAGCCTATTGGAAGTCTCATATCTGTCAATTTTACCAACAAAACAACACTCATTTGCTACAAGTAGAAATTTCTTAAAAAAAAAAAAAAATAGACCAATAGCGATATGAAAGAACCTGAGTTTGCATAGTATACAAATTATCAGATTATGAGAGCTTTATCACACTATTAATTTTAATACATACTTCTATATACTGGAGAGAAAAATGTCGAACAAAGTTTTTTCCTAAAGATAGAAACAAACAACATCTTCTAATAACACTAGAAGACAAGGAAGTAGTTATGAGAAAGACAAGTGTAGACTTGTCAATTTACAGATAAGTCTACACTTGCACATACTGACATATTGATGGCAGGATATACACTATTAAATTGTATGACTTCTCCAAACTATCTTTCATTTTAACATGTAGCACCAAACTAAAAGGCCAAAAAATATTTGGGGTTGTGGTTTAGAAAATGAGCCTTTTCCCTTCATGACGTTAATAACTCTGTGCCATTTTTTAAATACAAGAAGGTAGCTCATTTCTGGTTAGTTTACAGACTGTTATTAGTTCTTACAGATTTGGCATGTGCACATGGAACAGCTAGCTTAACCACTTGTCCTCCAGAGGATTTAATCCCCCCACCCCTGACCAGGCCATTTTATGTGTTATGGCGCTGCATTGTTTAACTGACAATTGCAAGGTCATGCAATGCTGTACCCAAATGAAATTTACATCCTGTTTTTCCTACGAATAGAGCTTTCCTTTGGTGGTATTTGATCCCCTGTGCATTTTTTTATTTCTTGCACTAAAAAAAAAGACTGACAATTTTGAGAAAAAACAATACTTTTGACTATTAACCTCCCTAGCGGTCTGAGTATGTCCATATTTCTGTGCTCAAAGCGGTACATTTTTTTGCATGGAAATATGTAGTTTTTTTTATTCTAGGCCTGTAATTTTTAGAATAACTCACTGAAATCTGTCCGAACAAGAGTCTAGTAAACATCCCAGGTATGTTAAAATTTGAAACACAAAATCATAAATTATAATTTAATAAATAATCATAAAACATAATAATATAATAATAATACATTTAATTCAATAATATAATCAAACCAAAAACAATGACATTTGAAATATAGCGCCAGTTCTAGAGCTTAGTCACAAAATCGTTTTCAGTGTCTGATGACGAATTTTCCCCACGAATCATTATCACTCAATTCTGCAAGTGGTTCTGATTTACTATCGCTGTTCTCTAGCTGGTCTAAAACCGCTTTTGACCTAAAGGGACGCTTTTTGGACGCCATGGACGTTTCTCAGTTTCCAGGCAGAAAGAACAGTAAAAATGCAGGCAGGGCACAGGACAAAGCACTCGGGACAAAATGTATGTGAAATGGTTTGATACAGTAATGTTGTACTATGTGATTTTAGTGAATGTCACTTTTAAAATTTTTACATTTTCCACCAGTTCCGTCCCCCGTATGTCCCGACGTCTCAGGGAACGGAACCCAGAAGACAGATGCCGGCATTGGCCGGAGGACACTGCAGGAGGGACATTGCGGGAGTGCAGGACAAGGTAAATGAAGAATAGATCCCGGAGCAATGCTGCAGGGTATTCCCAAGTGTAGCTCGGGGGTTACCGCTTGTGGTGCTGAAACTTTACCCCGAGCTACACTCGGGAATACCGCCAGGGAGGTTAAACATGTCCAGTAAAAAATTAGAAAAATCAAATTTCATCATAAATTTAGGCCAAAATGTATTCTGTTATATGTCTTTGCTAAAAAAAAATCCCAATACGTGTAAATCAATTGGTTTACATGAAAGTTACAACATTTACAAATTACAGTATATATACTGGGTTTTTTTTTATTTTTAAGAGCAAAGGCAACGATCAGCGACTTATAGCGGGACTGCGCCGGCATTCTGACACTGGGGGGAACTGACTTGGTGTCACTGACATCCCCAGTGATACTAACACAGTGATCAGTGCTATTAAAAAGCACTGACACTGTACTAATGACACTGGGCAGGAAGGGTTAACAAAGGGTTAACTGTGTGCTGTTTTACTGTGCGCTGTGTGCGCGTGTGCTTCACTGTAAGCACACTGCTTTGCACGGCTCTGCAAAGCCATGCATAGCAGTGTGCTGGAGCTGACAGGGGAGAGAACTGTATTGTTTACTTACAGTTCTCCCCCTCCGACAGTAATGCTCCAGGGTGTCGGCAAGTAATCACCGGCTGGGACCCAGTGATTGACAGCCGAGGCAGTGAATAGCATGATTTTGCGCACCCATGCCACCCTGTAGCAATATTACTGCTATAGGGCAGATGGGAAGCGGTTAAAGTGTTAAGGAAGACAACAAAATAATGTCAACTTAATGAGTCTGCATAATTAAAATTTAAGGCAATATACTGTATGTACTCCTTTAGGACACCAAGTGGGAAGGTTGAATGAATCCCAGGACACCTTCAATATTACAAAATTGAGGATCATCCATGCAACACACTGTTTGCTGCTGACCTAAAATCCTGATTACCAGATTTTACCAACACAGTAGCAACAGGAAATACCTAAAATTCTGAGCATTTCAAATAGAGAAAAAAATGGCTAGTATGGCAGATACTATTAAACTGATAAAACACATTTTAATGCAATTAAAGTGGAGTTTTTATTTTTAAAAAAAATCCCCGCTAGATCACTTTATGCTGGCCCCTTTTGCAAGTATAACTGCAAAACATTACAAATAAAGGCCTATACTGTTCAAAATGTAGTAATACACTGTCTCACCTTGCTTTACACATGCTCAGTTGCTTTTTTTTTTGTGCCAAAAATGTAGAGGCCATCTGCTGACAGCATAAATATTTACTGCTTCTCAGGGGCTCTGGGCTTCAGAAAAATGACAGCTTTCAGCAAGTGAAGACAATAGTAATGCTGAAGGCAATTTACAAAACACACTAATTTTTCATAGCATAATTATTAATGTGGAATGAACAGTAAGTTCCTTGCTAAAGAACATTATTTTCTTATCAAGTTTTTATGAGTAAAGCTCTGCTTTAAAGTATGTGTACACTTCACGAAACTAAACATCTAATCTAATAATTAACTTTCTGATATATTTTCAAAAGTACTTGCTGTTAATATGTAAAAATCCAAACAAGATGATGGCGTGTGTGCCACCCAAAATTTAATGAAGTTGGAATCCCTTCCTATGCAAGTCTTTCAGTGCTTTTCCTTGGCTTGCACTTTTATTCTATGTACCATATTGTTCGCTCCATAAGACGCACTTTTTCCCCCAAAAAAATGGGTGGAAATGTCTGTGCGTCTTATGGAGTGAATATAGACCAGGACTCCCCTGCCCCCTCCCCGACGCCATTTTAGAATACCGGGCTGGCCGTTCGGCTCTTCTGTGGCAGAAGAGAGGAAGAGTCTGAGGCAGCGCAGCAGCGCCAGGCAGGGACCAAAGCAACTGCCCCTTAAAGCGGAGTTCCAGCTGAAAAAAAAAACAAAAAAAGTCAGCAGCTACAAAAACTGTAGCTGCTGACTTTTATAATACAGCCACTTACATGTCCCTCACCACTGCTGGTTTCACCTCTCTCTGGCGCCGGCATCTTTAGTGTGGGCACCTGGCTGTGACAGCTTGCGGCCTTACATCCAGGTGCCCACTGCACATGCGCGAGAGACGCTGCGCTTTATGAATGGCCTCGTAGTCTTCTGGGACCTGTTGTGCGTCCTAGAAGACTATGGGGAGGGGGAGGACGACTTCTGCTTCCGATCACCTAGGCGAAGTGGGAGCAGGTACCTGTCAAATTTGGGTACCCACCCCACCCCTACCCCGCTCCCCGAAGATCTGCAGTCTCTGGTCATCTCCTGTACTCTGTCTGCTGTCTCTGGTCATCTCCTGTACTATGTCCGCAGTCTCTGGTCATGTCCGCAGTCTCTGGTCATCTCCTGTACTATGTCCGCAGTCTCTGGTCATCTCCTGTACTATGTCCGCAGCCTCTGGTCATCTCCTGTACTATGTCTGCAGTCTCTGGTCATCTCCTGTACTATGTCCACAGTCTCTGGTCATCTCTGTACTATGTCTGCAGTCTCTGGTCATCTGTACTATGTCTGCAGTCTCTGGTCATCTCCTGTACTGTGTCTGCAGTCTCTGGTCATCTCCTGTACTGGTCTGCAGTCTCTGGTCATCTCCTGTACTATGTCTGCTGTCAGTCTTCTGGTACATCCGCTCTCTGTACTGTGTCCGCAGTCTCTGGTCATCTCCTGTACTGTGTCTGCAGTCTCTGGTCATCTCCTGTACTATGTCTGCAGTCTCTGGTCATCTTCTGTACTATGTCCACAGTCTCTGGTCATCTCCTGTACATCCGCAGTCTCTGGTCATCTCCTGTACTATGTCCGCAGTCTCTGGTCATCTCCTGTACTATGTCTGCAGTCTCTGGTCATCTCCTGTACTGTGTCTGCAGTCTCTGGTCATCTCCTGTACTGTGTCTGCAGTCTCTGGTCATCTCCTGTACTATGTCCGCAGTCAGTCTCTGGTCATCTCCTGTACTATGTCTGGTCATCTCCTGTACTATGTCTGCAGTCTCTGGTCATCTCCTGTACTATGTCTGCAGTCTCTGGGTCATGCAGTCTCTGTACTGTGTCTGCAGTCTCTGGTCATCTCCTGTACTGTGTCTGCAGTCTCTGGTCATTTCCTGTACTATGTCTGCAGTCTATTGGTTCAGAATATTTTTTTTCTTGTTTTCCTCCTCTAAAACCTAGGTGTGTCTTATGGTCAGGTGTGTCTTATAGAGCTAAAAATACGGTAAGTGCACCAAGCATTTCCTTTGACATATCTATATATACATATATACGGTATCTCTCTCTCTCTCTTTATATATATATATATATATATATATATATATATGCACACACACACACACACCCACACGCTGTGTCATTTGAAAAGTAGGACATTACAGATGAAAACAAGCTGGTGAATAACTACCGTCACTGGCACCAGGAAATGACAGTTATTTGTTCGAGGCCAAATCAATATGCTAACCTTCACATTAATGTATAATTTCGAATAGCAACAAATAAATTTGCCAAAATGATAGACAGCCATCTGAAGTCAAGGTTATTATATACAACCTTCTTTCACAGTAGCATGAATTCCAACAGCCGGTAACTCTACACTGAAAAATTATTTGGCAGATGGGTCTGGATAATGGACAAGGCTTTCTGTCATAATGAGCGCACTTATGGCTAAATGCACTACAAATGAAATTAGACGGATATATCTAATTTATCAACCACACAAGACAAAATATAAATAAAACATTTAGTAGACAGCAGATGTCTAGTAAAATGGCCTCTGTCACAGAAAGCAAACTAAAATCATACACAATATACACTAATCTTCTTTTTCCTGCCAAATAGCAGAGGGTAAGCAATGAGAGAAAGGGGCACATTATTCCCAGGTAGCATTGGTGTGAACACTAAGGAGGGGGGGGGAATAGGTGTATATTGTATCCTTCACTATTACACATTCTTGAACTGGTCTTATAGCAGCTCATATTTAACTTTTAACTGAAGTTTCTGGTCAATATAAAACATTATTTTCACAGATTTTGTGATAGTTGTGTTATAGACACAACCATGATTCTCCTGCAGAAGGAAAACATGTCACCGAGCCATCATGGCTGCTAGTTCTGCAGTTTTCCCATAACCTCCTATTACTTGTTACATGAAACATAGAGCTGGTATTTTGAAGTCACATTGCTCTGCTGCGGTATAAAGCTGCCACTGCAGATTACTGCCACTTTACATCTCCTATAAGCTCCTATTATTGTAAGCTTGGAACTTGTATAGTACCTGAGCCTATAAACTCCCTCTGATTGCCCCTAAGCAAACAGTAAACAACTGTCCATTGCAACACAATGAGCCTAATTTGCTAAAAAGATATGCTTCTTTAATTCTTTTATTCTTTAAAGAAGCCTATCCTGCTTCTAACTAGTAAACTGCCTTTTATTTGCTCCATCAGCTCATTCCCACAGCTATTACCTTTTGTATCACTTACAAGCAGGGCCCTCTGTTTCCTCTTGTACCAAATTGTATTGTAACTGTAATGTCTACCTTCATTTTGTAAAGTGCGCTGCGCAAACTGTTGGAGCTATATAAATCCTGTATAATAATAACAATATGCACATTTGCAGGTACATTGACCTGTTCATGAACCAGGCAGGGCAAGCAATGTATACTCTCACATTATGTACTCACATCACATTGCACAAAATGGCAAAATCAAGGTTTGTTATGCCCCCACATGCTCCACTGTCTGAATTTACACCAGCTAAGCAGTGGCATAACTAAAAGGAATTCAATTTATTGAATCTGTTTATGGCCACCTTACATCAGTCAGCTATTTGCATTTTCTTTTCATTTAGCAAAAATACATTATGGTTTGTGTCCTCTAATCACTAAGGCCTCATTTACACTTGTGATTGAGGGGCGGATTTAACCCTTCCCATGGTTGAGCAACATTTTTTATTGCCCCTCAACCGCTCTAACCTTTTGCTTCAAAGGCAGTGGCCATATTCCGTGGCTGCAATGCTTTGCATCATGGGTGCGGCAAGAATTATACCCCCTGGCACACTTGGCGAGTGGTGTCACCCACCGAACTGTGGATGAATGTGACTGCACTGCAAATGCCCCACAGTCATACACAACATGCGTGGTTGCTGTGCGGTTTTCCAGTATTTAGGGGTTAAAACTGGTGGGGAGGAGGTGATACAATGCTTTCTCACCACCTGTCTATTGCTGTCTGAAGAGCGATCCGAACATGGATCACGCTTCAAATAGCAAAGCAAGTGCAAACAAGGCCTTAAAGTGGTTGTAAACCTCAAACATGAAATATGAACAAAGCATATCCCTCCCTGTCATCCCTGAAACCAAGAGAAAAATGGTGACGGAGGGCACAGCCTCAACTCTGTTCCTGTGTGCTGTGTGAAAGGGGGGTGTCCCTTCCTTCCAATCAGCTCTCAGAGCTCTGCTCACTGAGTGTAGCTTCATCTCCCCGCCCCCTGCTTTTCAAAGCTGAAGGATCCTGTGTAAATTCTGCACTTTGAATGGATGGAAAAGATAGCTGTAGATAAACAGGTACAACTTATGCAGGAAGATTTGTTTCATCCCTCTGAATCACCTGAGGTCAGTCATTTCACTCAGTATAGTAAGGGATTACAATCACTTTAAGGTGACTTAAAAAAAAAAAAAAAGAAGTAAAGAATCCATAGTCCATGCCTTGTAGTGTAAATACATGGACTTTGTTGCCACAATAAAAGAGTAAACTTTGCAAGATCAGTTGAGGGGATGCGTCTGCTGGGTGTGTGAAGGTGAGCATGTACTCATATATTCCCGCAACACAAGTGTGTCTATAAGGGCTAAAACAGGGTCTTAAGGTATGGATTCCACCATTTTGCATTCATTAAAACATGATTGTTGTACAAATATTACTATTCTAGTGACTAGATACATTTATAATGGTAAAAATATACAATTTTGAGGCTTACTGGACTTTCCACACCAAAACTATTTTGAGAATGATCATTTTTTTAAATGTTCATTTGCTTATTTTGTTTGCCTATGCTATATATTTGGTGATGTCTGGCACAAAAATTGTCACCGACTCCCAATTTGCTTTCTAATAAAGTTAGAGGATCAAAAAAATACATGACAAGACACCAACTTCCTGCTATAGCACACTTCTGATAAAGTAAAAAGTTAAGGTATGGGTTATAACTGTTGTCAGGTTTTTTATTGCTATTTGTGTCCCCATTAGGCCTCATGCATATGAGCAGAAAAAAAGCTAATTTTAGAGACATTTTTCATTTTTTAAAAATTCCCCTGAATGCAGCTCTATTTCAGCGATTGTGCTCACATTAGAATTCAGAAGCATACACAATGGCCCAAGCCTGCATTCAGAGGGGAGCTTACAGGAATCATTTTTGAACATATATCTGATTTTACATTCATATGCTTCTAAACGCCATATGCCCATAGAGGGAATCTTAGAGGTGGAATTTTCCAATGGGGATGCTTGTTCTCCTGACAGTTGTCTGAAAGGGGTTATCCCTCACATTGGACAGATATCTTCTCTCTTTTCTGTTGAGTCTACAGGACAGGAAGTGAAGGGAAACCTTCCTAAAGAGGCAAAGGGGTTGATTTACTAAAGGCAAAAAGACTGTTTACTTTACAAGGGAAGTAGTACTTCACAGGGAAATTATCCCCTGAGCTCTGCCCATTACCATAATCCAATCAAATACAAGCAAACATGTTGTTTTTTTCGCATGCGATTGGGTATTTTTTACAAAGTGAAACTGCACCACATTCACTAAGCTCTGGCAAAAATGTCCTTGCACACTGCAACATCCCTTTTAAAGTGAATTGTCTATTTGTCTTTAGTAAATCAAGACAATTAAATTAAAAAAAAACAAAAAAACACCCCCCCCCAAAAAAAAAACAAAAACCTGACAGTGGTTTTAACCCTTCCCAGCTCTAAATAAGAAGACATTTTGACTTTAGAGATACATTATGGTAAACACAGCTAATGGAAACATGCTGCACATTTTGTCTTTTGTTTATCATTGTTTACTTTCCACATTTGTTGTAACTGAGCATTTAGTACTTCTTAAAACACAACTTGTACTATTCTCTTGGGCTAAAAAGACCTGTACAGAATTTGGACAAAACTAAAGTGTTCTGATCATTGCAGCTCAAGCCAATTGGACTCCTGTGCATTTAATACTGAGACACACATGGTGCACCGCACATCTAATTACTATATTTAATTATTATTTACAGCATGGCTTCTGTAATTACTATTTATAGTATAAAGAAATTATTATTTACAGTTATATTGGAACTTGCATGGCATGGTAGGCTAAACAAAAAAAAAACAAATAGTTAAAAATTGTTGCCAAGATACCTTAGGGCAAGGTGTTATAATCAACAGGGAAAGCTCTAATGTGCAGGCCTTACACTGTACTACAAAGAAACATTTATTATAAACAATATTGTTCATTTTTATAGATTTAGAAATATGAATGCTAACAATCAGTTATATTACCTCTGCATTTGGTTTGAATTATTTTTCCATTTTAAATTCCAAAGCATATGTTAAGCATTAGTAAACATGATGAAAAACCCTAAAGTCTTGGGGCCCTTTCACACGGGCGCCTTCC